CGACGGCGAGCGCCGCGCCGAGGCGCCGCACGAATGCGGGGGGGGGGCTTTCAAGGGCAACCCCGAACCTATCGCAACCGGGGGAGGCCGAACGGGTCCGTCAAAGTTCCCGGTTCTCCGTGACGACGCGCAACATCGGGTCGACGAACGCCTGGAGCTCCGCGAACAAACGCAGCGCGCACCCCGAGACCTCGTCGTGCGTGGCGAGTGGGTACTCGGCCATCCAGTCCAGCGCTTTGCGCGCCGTCGACCCAAGCACCACCGCGTCGGAGTGTTCGATTGCGCCCTCCCAAGCGAGGTCCTGCACGAGGGAGAACAGCATGGCAGTAGTTGGCGAGCTGGATGCACTCGCGCGGCCACACCTTCGCAGGCCGCTTGAATCTGCGCTGCGGGCACACTGCGGGCTGCTGAAGGATCGTCGGAGCGGGTCGCAGCGCGCCCCGCGCGATCCTCTCGGGCCGAGGCTTCCGATACCACGGCATCCTCGGCAACGCCTCCAGCTCAGGGTGGGGGGGACTCGTGTGCAAGTGCCGACAGCACCAGTGTCCCTCCAGCGACACCCGCTCGCGGGTAGCAGTGACCAGCTGCTGCAATTCCCGCAGCCAGTGTCCTGCCGCAGGCACTGGACCCTCAGGCTGCTTGCGTCTCCACGGGCTCGATGGCGCTGCTGCGCACGAGCCGCTCCGTCGCCGCGCCCCGAGGGGGGCGGCAAATGATGAACGGGCCTCCTTCCTCGTCACCTCCTCACTCTCGGCGCTAGGCAACCAGCAGCCTGGCGCGGGGGCTGGCGGGGGCAGAAAGACGTCGGGAACCCCCACGTGCATGTAGCAGGGCAGAAAGGGCTCGGCATCGGCGGAGAGCGACACACCGACCTCGACGGGCGCATGCGTCTCCGTCGTCGTCCGCGCCTCGAGCCGTGGCCCGTGCTGGGCCTTCCGCAGTGTGGGAGCCCCCGCCACGGAGACATCGATGCCGCGCGCGTCGGCGTGCATGGCAACGCTCCGCCGCAGCACCTCCAGCCAGGTCGGGGCCCGGCCTGCCAGTTTCGCCTGCAGCGCGGGCAGAATCGCTCGCAGGCGCTGGCTCACCTCGCTTCACCCGATGACCGAGTCGAGCGCCGCCTCCAAAGCGGACACGAACCCGCGAACTTCTTGTGAGAGCTTCAGCACGGCGCGATCTGCCGAGTGCCGCGCCCACTCTCTGGCAGCCTTGCGCTCCCTCGGCGGAACGCCTTGGACGGGCAACGCCCGGGCCCTCCCGTGAAGCCATCCCATGAACCGCGAGCCAAACGCCCTGCCCCCCCAAGGCCCTCACGCCCGCCCGAGATGGGGGTACGCCGAAGGACAAGGTCCAGGAGCAGGGGGCCTACGGAAAGGCATGAGCCAAATAGGCTACGGATGGGGAGGAGGAGGAGGAGGCGGAGGAGGAGGAGGAGGAGGAGGAGGAGGAGGAGGATAAGACATGCGACGCGGATGACGAGTAGGAGGAGGAGCAGGAGAAGGACGTAGAGAGCGGGGGGAGGGCCTCCGCCAGGCGAAGAGGAAACGGCCAGGGCCAAACTAACTGGGTTCCCATGTGGGGTCCTACCGTCGGAGTAATTGCTTGTGGTACTCTTAATAAGGATGAGAGGCATGTTTGTTTGTGTTCTTCTGGGGGGCCGTCAAGCGGGAACATCCTGCTGTTTTTTTCCCCCCCGGGGCGCTCATGCGAGAGCCCCCTCCTGTGAGTTTGTTCCTGGTTCCTATCAGGCGGGAGCCTCCTCCTGTTTGGGCTTTTCTGGAGGGCTCTCAAGCGAGAACCTCCACCGGTTTAACAGTCTGGGGGACCTCTCAGGCGACTAACCTCCTCTTCGTCGTGCTTTTTTGGGGCCTCTCAGGCGGGAGCACTCTTTCGAGTAAGTTCGTTTGAGGACCTCTCATGCAGAAGCCTCTGTTCGAGGGAGTAGTTGTTGGGAACTCTCAGGGTTCTCAGGTCTGATCGGTTCCCATCATATTCCAAGTGGGCTCTAGCTGTAGTCCAACTATAGCAGGGAGGAAATCCCAGATCTAGACACTCCCAACATGATCCCGAGTGCATTCCAATTCGATTCCAACTCGAATTGATCAGGTCCCAGATCAAGAAAACCCCAAGTGGATTACAATTGGATTCTGGTTGCATTGCAAGCAGAACAGATGGGATCAGAGATCCATGAAGATTTCAATTGGACTCCGATCGAATCTCAGATCGGGTTCCAATACCATGGACCCTGAAGTGGGCCTTGGATGTGTTACCTGGGGCTCCCAAATCGTCAAATACCAGCCAGCGCAAATCCCATATACAGATATATGTGCCTATCGATCTATGCACGTGTGTCGCTCGTACTCAAGATATACGCATGTGTATGAATATATAATACACAGATACACACGTAAGATTTCCGGCTCGCTTCGCCTCGCATTTGAAATCTTGGTCGCATGGCGCCAGCGAGGCACGCAGCGGCTCGTCGTCGCCAGCGCCGCGGTGCGTGTCTGTGCGTCTGTGTGTCTGTGTGTGTGTGTCTGTGTGTGTGTGTGTGTGTGTGGGTCCGTGTGTGTGTGTGTGTGTGTGCGTCTGTGTGTGTGTGTGTCTGTGTGTCTGTGTGTCTGTGTGTGTCTGTGTGTGAGAGTGCGTGCGTGCGTGCGTGCGTGCGCGCGCGGGTGCGTGCGTGCGTGCGTGCGTGCGTGCGTGCGTGCGTGCGTGCGTGCGTGCGTGTGTGTGTGTGTGTGTGTGTGTGTGTGTGTGTGTGTGTGTGTGTGTTTTTGTTTGGTGTGTTTGTGTGTGTTTGTGTGTGTGTGTGTCTCTGTGTGTGTGTGTGTGTCTGTGTGTCTGTGTGTCTGTGTGTCTGTGTGTGCGTGTGTTCGGCGGTAGGGCCCATGGAGCAAACAGGGCTGATAGGACCCATGTGCTCCTCTATGCGAGAGGTCTCAAGGGCTTTCCGTCGCCACTCGAGCCCCAGAGCTCGGAGCGTAAGTGTGGAAGAAGGGTGCTTCGGGCGACGCGGCTCATGGAGATCATGAGGTTCCGAGAGCCCGCAGCCGTACCTGAGTCCAGAGGGTTGCTTGGGCTGACAAGCTCATTGGGCGTGGAGGCTCGTAGGGCCCTTGGTCTCATAGAAGCCACTGGCTCTTGGGCTCGATAACGCGGGTCGGAGTATCGAGCTTGTGAGGTCCACGGGACTCATAAGGATCATTGTGCTGCTTGGGACCAGGAGGCTCATAAGGTTCAGAACGGGTCGTCGGGGTCATAGGGCTCATGGGGCCGACGGGGCTCATAGGGTCATAGGGCTCTTGAGGCTCTCAGGGGTCGCGCGGACGGTCTAGCCCATAGGGCTGATAGGGCTCAGAGGGCTCGTAGGCCTTACGAGGCCTATAAGCAACATAGGGTCCATGGCCCGCACGGCTCATAGGGCTCGTCGGGCTCATTGTCTCATAGAGCTCGTGAGGCCCATAGGTCTCATGGTGCCCATAAGGCTCGTAAGGCTCGTGGGGCTCATACGGCTCATCAAGCTTATATGTCCCATGGGATCATGAGCGTACGTGTCGCAGAAGGCTCGGGTCACAAGGCAGATGAGGCTAATGGGGCTCTGAGGGCTTGTACCGCTGACAAGGGTCGTAGGGTTCGCAAGACTCGAATGGCTCGTACGGTCGTCGGGCTCAGGAGCTCATTGGGCTCATAGGCCCGTCAAGCTTATGGGTCTCATATGACTTGGAGGAAAGGCATCTCGGGGGCCTCTTGGAGGGCGCATAGGGGTCGTAGGCCTCATAGGGCTCATGGGGCTCGAACGGCTCATAGCGCCATCTGAACCACACTTGCGGCGCTCGTATTGTGCGAGGGGGCGAGATCGCGCGCTCAGGGTTTGGGAGCGTCTTGGTGTTCAGACTTTGGCACGTGGTCAGGCACATCTACCGCACAACCTCGCAGAAATCAGTGAAAGTGGCCTCTCGGGGCCTCTGTGGGGATCATTTTGGGGCTGTGTTGGGCCGTCTGGCGGCCCAGGTCCCAGGGCTTCCCGCCCCATCCCCGCCCGCCCCATTCCTGACCCCACTCTCGCGCCCCTGGCAGCCCCATGATCAGTCCGTCCGTGCTCGATTGTGAGGCTGCCCAGGCACCGTCCGCACCCGCTCCAGTCACGCTCCTGACTGCTTACCAGACCACCTCGACCCAACCCGAAGGCCCAAATCTCGGGTTGGGGAAGGAGGGGGGTGGGGTACGGGTTCCATCCGTGTTTTTTGAAGGGGCCCCAGGACACACACACATAAATACACACAAATAAAAAGATGCCCCACATGTTCCAATCTTTTCTGGATTTTCGTCTTCCCCCCCACTCCCCATATTTTCCAATATCTTCGGGGGGATCGACGATGAATTGTGTCTCTGTGTGTTTTTCCCCTCTTGATTTGTCCTGCTCAACTGTTCCCGGATGCCTCCCTTGCCGCCGGGAACGGAGGGCAACGTGGGGCCCTCAGGCTGGGTGGGGGTGGCTTGGTGGGCGGGGAACTCCGTCCCTGGGCGGCAAGAATGACCAACAGCGTAACCACCAGCCTCTGTTTTGCAAACGAAGACCTGGAAGGAAGAGAAGAACGGGGGGGAAGGCGAGAGGAGCCGCGGCCTCATCCCCTACCGCGCCCTCCCTCCCTCCCCCTCCCCTGCCCCTCTTCCTCTGCTCTCCCTGCCCTCCCTCTCGCTACCCTCCCACCTACCCTCCATCCTGGTTCTTCTTCCGGATGTCCCGTTTATCCTCCTCTCCTCCTCCTCCTCCTCCTCTTCCTCCTCCTCCTCCTCCTCCTCCTCCTCCTCCTCCTCTCCTCTGGCCCTCTCCTCTCCTCCTCCTCCTCCTCCTGGCCTCCTCCTTCTCCTCCTCCTCCTCCTCCTCCTCCTCTGGCCCTCCTCTGGCCCTCCTCCTCCTCCTCCTCCTCCTCCTCCTCCTCCTGGCCTCCTCCTCTCCCCTCTTCTGCTCCCCCACCTGGCGTGCCAGACATGACGCGCCTGCCGCAGCTGCGCAGCCCTCGCCTCCGCCCCGGCGAGGCGGCCGCGCATCTCGGGGCGACGAGGAATGGGGGGGAAGGAAGGGGCTCGGTGGCGGGAGCTGGCATGAGCCAAACGGATCCTGAGGGCAACGGGTCCTGGACCCCGGGGCTTCCTCCAAAAAGGGGAAGGAAAAGACGGCATGCACGTCAGCGGTCACTGGCCCGCGCGGAGGTCTTGGATCTGCGCTGGAAGCTCCTCCCTGCCGCGCGGAGTGCGCCGGGGTGCGGCGCCGGCCAGAGGCGCTGCCAAGGGGGGCCAGCGCAGATCCGAGACTCCGCGCGGGCCTACGAACGTTCTCTTGATGCCGCTTCGGCTTCCTCCAGGACGTCGCGCCCTGCGCGAGGGCCAGCCGAAGGGCCAGGCGCCCTGGCCTTCGAGCGCTGCACGTGTTTCTGGGCTCGGCGCGGGGGTGATCTCTTCTTCGAGGGCCCCCCCGAAGGAGGAGGAGGAGGAGGAGGAGGAGGAGGAGGAGGAGGAGGAGGAGGGAGGAGGAGGAGGCGGAGGAGGAGGAGGAGGGAGGAGGAAGGAGGAGGAGGAGGAGGAAGAGGAGGCCGAGGAGGAGGAGGAGGGGGAGGAGGAGGAAGAGGAGGAGGAGGGGGAGGAGGAGGAAGAGGAGGCAGAGGAGGAGGAGGAGGGGGATGAGGGGGAGGAGGAGGAGGAGGAGGAGGAGGAGGAGGAGGAGGCCCCTGCTGCAGGGCCGAGCCTCTCGCCCAAGGCCGCCCCGCTGCCGGAGCCCCTGGGGCCCTCTGGCGGGCCGCGGGAGGCCGAGGATCCGCGGGCTTCGCGGCGGGGCGAGGGGGGCACAGGGCGACGAACAGGACGAGGACAGCATCGGGCGGGGATACAAGCGCGAGTCTCTGAGCGCCCCGCGGCTCTGGAGGACGCCTCGGGCCCCGCGGTCTCCTCGGAGCGTTCCGGAAGGCTCTGAGAGCGTTCCGGCACGCTCTGGAACGGATCTATCCTCGTCCTGGCCCCGCCGGGGGCAAGCCGGGTGCGGTCGCGCCTCATCTCTGTTCCTGGCTTCTGTGCGACTGCTCACGAGCATGCAACTATGGCCTGGGGGCTCGGCCGCAGTGCACCCGTGCAATCTCGGGAACGTCATTCGGCTGCGCGTGCTGGCCATACATTCGCATGCGCCTGGCACGACAGGGGAGAGAGAGAGAGATAGGCCAGGGGGGCGGGAAAGGATGATGATGATGATGCTGATGATGATGATGATGCTGATGATGATGATGATGCTGATGGTGATGGTGATGACGATGATGATGATGATGATGATGATGATGATGATGATGGTGGTGATGATGATGACGACGATGCTGATGATGCTGACGATGATGATGATGATGACGACGACGATGATGATGATGATGATGATGATGATGATGATGATGATGATGATAATGCTGATGCTGATGCTGATGCTGATGTTGATGCTGCTGATGATGATGATGATGATGATGATGATGATGATGACCAGGACGAGGAGGAGGAGGAAGAGGAGGAGGAAGAGGAGGAGGAAGAGGAGGAGAAGGAAGACGAGCAGGAGGAGGAGGAAGAGGAGGAGAAGGAAGACGAGGAGGGGAGAGGAGTGAGCACCACCAGCAACGGGGGCCTGTAATCGCGATGGGCCGCCTCATCTGACGTCCTGCCCATCCCTCCCATCCCTTTCCGCTACGCTGGCTTGCTCTCCATCCGCGGCCGCGTGCCATGGCCGACCTGCATGCTCCAACGGATGGACCGCACCGTGCCGTGCGCCATCGTAACCGGGGAGCCGCGTGCACAGGAGGGTGCGGAGGTGGCGGATGAGCAAGAGGATGCAGTCAACCAGTATGGTAAGGATGCGCGATAAGGATGCAAGGGCCCTGGAAGGCCATTTCGAAGCTCTTCGAGCGGAGCGCGGCCAACGAAAGTGGCGAAGGATGGACCGAGGAGGCAAGGATGCAAGGGTACCCTTGGGAAGGTTGCCCATCCTTACTATGCGGGTTGACTGTAAAGTGACAACTGTTTTTCGGGCCACCCCCCTCCGTCGGGGAAGGGCTCGACTAGGGACCCCCTCTGTCACGGAAAGGCTCGTTCTGCGAGTCCCTCTGCCCCGAGAGCTCCCGCTGACTCCCGTGAATCGGGGGCACGCAAGCACGGATTAGCGGTCCATGGATTTGGCCCGCGGTCGCCAAATCCAGGGACTGGGGGGGGGCCCTCCCCAAAATGCGGCCGGCACCGCCTCGCTCGGCGGCGGAAATCTGCGGCATTTCCAATGGAAACAGGACCCGTCGCTATAATCCGCGCCCCCTTTGATCCATGTTTGCGATCGCCTTACAGTCGAGGTACTACCAGAAGGAACGCCAAATAAGGAACAAAGGGGCTTTTCTGGCCACGGTGGGTCAAAGAAAAACGACCTAGATCCCCGAGCCCCTTCCGAACCCGAAGCGGTCCTCAGTTCAGCGTCCTGGCTGTCAGCGGGAGAAGTCGGAGGGGGGAGGGCGCCAGAGCGCCCAGTGCTGCCCCCGACCCTCGAGCTGAGTCGATCGCCTTGGACGAAGCATCAAGCGAAGCTGCGAATATTCTGGCTTCCAATCTCTCAAGCGATTCACACAGCTGAAACGGATGTTTCTTGAGCTCTGCCACAGAAAGACAGAAGACCCTCGAGCTCGGGTGGCCCCCTCTGCCTCGGCGCGCCCAGCCCGGGCAGGCGCAGCCCGGGCGGAGAGCCACGGAGCTCACCGATACCCACCCCGCCGCCCGCCCAAACCCCCCGCAGGGGCGCGCCCTGCGCGCGCGGGGGAGCGGTGAGGACGAGGAGGGTGCCAAGGAGGGAGGGAGGGAGGGAGGAGGCACAGGAGAGGAGGAGGGAGGGAGGAGGAGGCTCCTCCTCGCGCCTCCTGTCGTGGGCCTGTATCTCGCCCCGGAGCCTGCTCGCGAGATTCGGGGCAGGTGCCCTCAAGCAGTGCCTGCACATGTTTCGAGAGTCCCATGCCTTGCATACACCACACGCATACACAACGTGCCACCACTGCAAGACAGCACTTACAACCGATGATACCAACTTGCCCAATGCTAGCTCCAGTGCACGTTTAGGGCCCCGCGCCAGCAACAACACCAATGTTGGCCTCCTCTCGTCTCGGCTTCCCTCTCAGAACCCCGGATTTCCTGATTTGTTCATAACGTCGACACGGAAGTCTGAACCAATGTCCCCGGACCAGCTAGGCCCAATACGGGCCCCAAAAGGCAGAAAAACTAGAAAAACCTCCCGCCGTCATTTTCCCGTGACTCCAGGTTGGCCTGGGCCCCTCCTACCCGTGCCTCTTCCCTTCCCCAGACTGCACCTCCACCTCCTGGGGCCCACGGGCCTCGAGGAGGTTGCACGACGCAACGGCAGCCGAGATACTAGGAGGGTCAAATCATGCCTACCTTCCCGCGCTCGTTCTCCGCACCCGCAGTTGCCGGCGCCAAGTCGGGCAGCGCCTACTGGGGAGGCCCGTGGAGAGAGCAGGGCGTGGCGGGTTCCGAAAACCCTGAAGCAAAACAACAATACCGCCTCTTGGGAAACAGGTTTCCACTTCCGCCGGCCTCCGCCGAGCTTCCGCCGGATTCCGCCTGTGGAGCCGCCCGCGTTCTACTTCCGCGGGCTTCCGCCGCCCGTCCGCGGCCTTCCGCCGAGGAAGAGATGACAACCCCTTCGATCCTCGAAGGGGAGCCGTCTCTGGAGCGCCTCATGTGGAGCATAGAAGAGCGAAAGCGAGCGCACCAATGCCACCGAAGCTCCTCCCCAGACCCCCCGGGTTTGGGGAGGAGGTGCCTCGGTGGCGTTGGTGACCCCGTTCTCGCTCTTCTCCCTCGCCTTCCCCCTCCTCATCTCTGGCCTCTCCCCCCCTCGCCTCCAAGTGCCCCCCCCCCCTACTATCCATTGCCCCAACTACACCAAGTCGAGCCGAGGAGGACGGGAGAAACTAGAGGAGAGTCAGAAGGATGATCAGGAAGGATGCACGGGGGAAGAGGATCCAAATCCAAATGCTCCTCCTCCTCCTCCTCTTCTTCCTCCTCCTCCTCCTCGGCAAACGCAGCCACGGCGAAGACGAGCTGCATGACGCAGACGACGCCGACAAAAACGACGAGCTCGACGACGACGACGAGCTCGATGACGACGACGAGGAGCTCGACGACGATGTTGCAGGCCCAAAAGGCAGAACAAAACCGTGGCGCTCAGCAAAGCGCGGGCCAACGTGCCCTGGCCAACGGCCAAAGTGGCCAACGGCCAACACCAAGGGCACACGCGCAAAAAGAGGGGATCACGGACACAAGCTGGGACCTGACCTCCGGCCTCCTTTCCTTGACTAACTCCCAATAGCGCCAGAAACGCTGTGCCTTAGGGAGGAAATCAAGGAAAAGAAAGCAAACCAAGGACCGCCCTACACCCCGCGCCAAAATGGCGCACGGGGGTTCGGGATCGGCGCCCAAGGGACAATACACGGAGCGTTGCCCAGCGCCCGCACCCTCACAAGCACGGCAACAGTGTGCCCGCGGCAAAGAGCACTGCAACCAAGAGGTTACAGGCGGAAAGCCGCGGGCCCCGCCTCCGTGGTCGTCAAACGGCGGTACGCCTCAGACCAGGAGGTGCCACAGGGGTCTTCCCGCGCCCAGGCCGCACCCCTTGGCCGAGGTGGCAGGGCACTAAAAGCCCTGGCCTGACAGCTGCAACGGCAACAGCAGCGGCAGCAGGGAGGGGGAGGGGGAGGGGGCCACTCTCCGGCCCAGGAGCGCAAACAACGTCCACCCTGGAACCTAATCCAGGGCCGTGCCGCAACTCCCAAAGAGGAAAGGGAGACGGACATGACGACGAAACGAGACACGAAGGACGACAACGAACGACCACGAACCTCCCAGCGGGAGGTGCCGCCCTCCGCCCTATCCTTATCGCACCCGGAACGCGGGCGGGATAAGGATCTGACATCATCGGACCCACACCGCATTCAGGCGGTGCCACACGGAGCCCAGGCAGCACCGCTTATCCGCGGTGGCGAGGCATTTGAAAATTGCCTCGGCCTGACGGCAGCTCGACGACGAGGACGGCGAGGTCAACGACGACGACAGGCTTGACGACGACCACGACGACGACGACGACGACGCGCTCGACGACGAGGAGCTCGACGAGCTCGATGGCAAAGCCCTCGGATGCGAGGCCCCCGCAGCGGCGCCTCCGCGAGACTCTCGGCCGCCGCCGCTTCCCGGCGCGCGGCGGCTGCGCGCAGCGACAGGCACGCCGCAGAAAGCGCCTCGGGCCGCGCGCCGCCGTCGCCAGACGTCGCTGCTGCAGTCGCCGCGCGCCGCCGTCGCCGCGCGCCTCCGCCGCCGCCGTCCATCAGGATTTCGTCCGCCGCCGCCGTCCAGCAGGGTTTCGTCGTCGTCGTCGTCGTCGTCGTGGTCGTGGTCGTGGCCGTCGTCGTCGTCGTCGACGTGGTCGTCGCCGTGGTCGTGGCCATCGCTGGTCGTGGTCGTGGTCGTGGTAGTGGTGGGGATTGTCGTCGTCACCGTCGTCGTCGTCGCCGTCGCCGTCGTCGTCGTTGTCGTCGTTGTCGTAGTCGTCGTCGGCGTCGGCGTCGTCGGCGTCGTCGGCGTCGTCTGCGTCGGCGTCGGCGTCGGCGTCGTCGGCGTCGTCGTCGGCGGCGTCGTCGTCGTCGTGGTCGTCGTGGTCGTCGTCGCCTAACTTCGCGCACCGCGCCCCGCGGTGCGTGGCGCGCGATTGCCTTCGCGCCCTCGCGCCGACCCCATCAGTGGAGGGCAGCCGCTCTGGCCAGGGCCACGACGCGCGAGGCGTGATCATTCTCGCGCCCCCGCGGGTGACCTCCCTTCCCGGACCCCCGCCGTCGTGTCCTTTACTCACCACGTCGACCCCGAGAGGCCTGGACCCTGTCCCCCCGGACTGGTTGTTCATCCGAAGTCGTTTCTTGACGGTCCGGGGGGCCCGGAAAAGGCCCCCTGGAGGCAGACGGCAACGAAAAACCTCCCGACATGATTTCTCCACAACGCGAGGGGGTCGGTGGGGCCCCGCGAGACGCGCCGAATGCTCGGCGCGGAGGGCCTCCGTGGCGCTCCGCCTCCCCGCGAGACGCGCGGGTGTGCTCGGCGCCCCGAAGGGCGGGGGAGGAGGAGGAGGAGGAGGAGGAGGAGGAGGAGGAGGAGGAGGAGGAGGAGGAGGAGGAAGAGGACATTGGTTTTTGACATTCGCTTCTGGGTGAACTAAAGCCAGGCGTGTTCCTCGGACAGCAGCTGACCTCCAGACATTTGCCTGGGGCGCTGCCAGTTCCGATTCGGCTAACCAAACCCTGCCCCAGAGAGAGGAGGAGGAGGAAGGTTGGAGAAAGGGAGGGGGATGAGATCAACTGCTAAGCGCTGGGGTAGCTCACTGCCCACGTTCTAATGGGCTGACCACCGAGCAAAGCGAGACCTGCCTTCCCCCATAAAGGGATGAAGAAAAGAAAGACTAGGGGATTACTTCGCCAGACGTTCCTGGACCCCTGATAAGAGTAAGACTGCCCACCCAACCTTTCCCTTCCCAGACAAGAACATCCCCTGGGCGCCAACGTGCAGATTCGGGCTTTCAGGCATGGCGTTGCCATGGCACGACCAGCCAGGAGAGGGCTTAGTTTTGCAACTTAGCCCTGGCTGCAAATTCCATGCACTGTCTGGTGGGAGAGAGTGGGATAAACTGGGCTGAACTGCAGCTGCCCCAACTGGCGCCTGACTAAGAACAAATGAAGAAGGGAAGCAGACCTGCTTCACAGTGCTGCCATTCTGGCCAAAAGGATACCGAACGCGTGAAGGTTAAAGAACGCTGGGTAGCTGACGAATGCCCTTCCCAAGCGCGAGAACTGACCAACACAAAAGGATTCTACCAAGAACCTGTAGCCGTATATACCTCGCTCAGCTAGGCCATAAACAATTTAGCCTATACCGCCCATGATGTAATATTAAACTGCCGCTGAACTGTATGACATGGGTGCTGCCATAGACCAATGATTCTCCAATTACTCTGAAGAAGAGGAGGCTGAGCTGGATCTGCTCCTCCGAGGAACAGGCGCACTGCCTGAAACTGTGTTTTGATTCTTTACACGACTGAGCTCAACCTGGAGTGTCCCCAGCTGCTGCTGAAGGTGCTTGACCTTGATCGCCTGGAGACCACACTTGAGCTCAAGAAGTCTTGGATTGGAAGGGGCTGAATCATTGAAAAAGGGGCTGCATCACTGTGCCCAACCGTTGCACGCTTACTAACGTGCTCTGGAGAAGTCGAACGAGGACGGTCGACAAGTTTTGCATTGACAGCAGGTGAGCCGACATCGCTACGACTGTCAGATACCTCTGGAAGCTGTTCTTCCTTCTTAGAGATCGGAACCGTAACCTTAGGCTCGACGTTGAATGTATCGCACACTGCCAAATAAAGATAGTTGTCTTTCCCCCTGTACTTTTCCAAGAACATGTCCAACTGATCCAGCACTTGGGGTTCGTACTGCTGGAAGACATCTGAGATAAGTAACTTGAGCTGATGCTTGACTTTGAAATCCTGGCCCTGCTCACTGTCGGGTTCTACCTGACCAGTGGCCTTGCCTGTGGAATCAGACTTCACTGCCACTAGAGGCGGCGGTGATGAATGCGCCTTCTCACTGTCGGCTTCTACCTGAACAGTGGGCTTATTTTTGGACTGAATCTTCTCACTGTCAGTTGCTACATCAGCAGTCGGCTTTTTTTTGAGCCCACTCTTCACTGCTACTGGTGGTGGCGGAGGAGGCGGAAGTGGCTGGGACCTCTTCCCATGCCAAGGGAAACCGCACTTACAGCAAGGTTGAAAAGCAATTCTGTTTGGCCAGATCCAACAGTCTGGTCTGCTTCGCGGGCAAAGCAACTTAGTATGCGTGACAAGTGGAGTTCCTACTCCTTCTTTGAAAACCAAGGGCGTCCTGGACGACATGGCGGCAAAGCGGCGTGTGGCTGTAGGCGGAAAAAGGGGCAGGGCTGCTCCTGCTCAGCTGGCTTGGGCCAAAATGGCTTGAGCCAAAATGGCTTGAGCCAAAATGGCTACGGGGGAGGAGGAGGAGGGGGAGGAGGAGGAGGAGGAGGAGGAGGAGGAGGAGGAGGAGGAGGAGGGGAGGAGAGGAGGAGGGGAGGAGGAGGAGGAGAAGAGGAGGATGAGGAGGGGGAGGAGGAGGAGGGGGAGGAGGAGGAGGGGGAGGAGGAGGAGAAGGGGGAGGGGGAGGAGGAGGGGGAGGGGAGGAGGAGGAGGAGGAGGAGGAGGAGGAGGAGGAGGAGGAGGAGGAGGAGGAGGAGGAGGAGGAGGAGGAGGAGGGAGGAGGAGCAGGAGGAGGAGGAGGAGGAGGAGGAGAAAGAAGAGGAGGAGGAGGAGGAGGAGGAGGAGGAAGAGCTCTCACAGTGCCTAGACGCGCGGGCTGCCCTGGAGGCCCCCGCCCTCCTCCCTCCGTCCCTCGAAGATAACCACGCGTAACCTGCGAAAGAAGCATCGGTACTCCATCACCGGGTCTGGCCAGGGCTGTCCTCAGCGCGCGCATCGTGTACAGTCGGACCTGGAACCCAGGATAAACGAACATCTTGAAAAACACGAAGCCCTCCGCTGGCCAAAACACCCCAAACCACAAGATCACTCGAGGGTAGTAACCCTTGACCCTCCCCCAGGATGCTCAAATTACCCTGGCGGCGTACCCAACCCTTGCGCAATGCGGGGCATACGTACATCAGCATTGCTACAACAGGGGCGATGACGTAACATGGATGCATGTCATTTTGCGAGCAGCAATCGGAAGGCTCGCAGGCCCCCGATCAAGATATAAAGACGTGGTAGTGGTTACTAACGCAGCCCCCCCCCCCCCCAGGGACGGCGAGGTCTCGCTCAGGTCCCCGCGGTGCCTCACTCCGCTGGACCCAACAGCAGCCCTCGAAAGTGGCGAGAGTGCCGCAGATCGCAGCCCCCAGGGACGGCGAGGTCTCGCAAAACGCAGGACCCACCAGCAGCCCTCGAAAGTGGCGACAATGTCGCAGATCGCAGTCCCCCAGGGACGGCGAGGTCTCGCTCAGGTCCCCGGCGGGGACTCCCCGCGGTTCCACAATCCGCTGGACCCACCGGACCAGCAGCCCTCGAAAGTGGCGACAATGTCGCAGATCGCAGCCCCCCAGGGACGGCGAGGTCTCGCTCAGATCCCCGCGGTGCCTCAGTCCGCAGGACCCACCAGCAGCCCTCAAAAGTGGCGACAATGTCGCAGATCGCAGCCCCCCAGGGACGGCCAGGTCTCCCTCAGATCCCCTCGGTGCCTCAGTCCGCAGGACCCAACAGCAGCCCTCGAAAGTGGCGACAGTGTCGCAGATCACAGCCCCCCAGGGTCGGCGCACACACACGCACGCACAAACACACACACACACACGAGGTACGCACAAGACAAGAGGAGACAAGACGGAAGCGGGAGACGGGAACGGGAAAAGAAGGAAAACGACGCGACCACGTTGCTCTAAGGAGGGTTGGGAAAATGATCCAGCAACCACGAAGAACATTAGGATACCCTCCCAAAACCGACCTCGATCATATACCACGGTCCGACTGTATACGCCTCCTTGCCGAGGCTAGGAGGACCTTTGCACCATCGTGGGGCCCAAGATGGCTGGCCCTCGCCAAGTACGGCGGTGGTGTACATATTCCGTCTGCGATGAAAAAAACAATTAGCCTGGCGAAGGACCCAACCATATGCAGTTGTGGGTATCGCATTCGGGGGAACCCCGTATGGGGCCACGAAGCGCTGTACTGGGTGGGGGGGACGCATGCGAACTGCGCCACTGGGACCTTCGGTGGAGCTCTCTATGGGGCCACGAAGCGCTGCCCTGGGTGGGGGGGGACGCATGCGAACTGCGCCACTGGGGCCTTCGGTGGAGCTCCCTATGGGGCCACGAAGCGCTGCCCTGGGTGAGGGAACCGCATGCGGGCTGTGCCACTGGGACCTTCGGTGGAGCTCCCTATGGGGCTACGAGACGCTGCCCTGGGTGGGGGAACCGCATGCGGGCTGTGCCACTGGGACCTTCGGTGGAGCTCCCTATGGGGCCAGGGGGAACCGCATGCGGGCTGTGCCACTGGAACCTTCGGTGGAGCTCCCTATGGGGGTACGAAACGCTGCCCTGGGCGGGGGAACCGCATGCGGGCTGTGCCACTGGGACCTTCGGTGGAGCTCCCTATGGGGCTACGAGACGCTGCCCTGGGTGGGGGAACCCCATGCGGGCTGTGCCACTGGGACCTTCGGTGGAGCTCCCTATGGGGCCACGAACCGCTGCCCTGGGTGGGGGAACCGCATGCGGGCTGTGCCACTGTGACCTTCGGTGGAGCTCCCTATGGGGCTACGAAACGCTGCCCTGGGTGGGGGAACCGCATGCGGGCTGTGCCACTGGGACCTTCGGTGGAGCTCCCTATGGGGGTACGAAACGCTGCCCTGGGTGGGGGAACCGCATGCGGGCTGTGCCACTGGGACCTTCGGTGGAGCTCCCTATGGGGCTACGAAGCGCTGCCCTGGGTGGGGGAACCCGCGGGCTGTGCCACTGGGACTTCGGTGGAGATGGGGCTACCGCTGCCCTGGGTGGGGGAACCGCATGCGGGCTGTGCCACTGGGACCTTCGGTGGAGCTCCCTATGGGGCTACGAAACGCTGCCCTGGGTGGGGGAACCGCATGCGGGCTGTGCCACTGGGACCTTCGGTGGAGCTCCCTATGGGGCTACGAAACGTGTGAGGGGTGTGCCGAGAGCAGAGGCAAAGAGGGGGAGGAGGGATGAGGGCGAGGAGGGGGAGGAGGAGGAGAGGAGGTGGGACGCGGGGCGCTGTCTCTTCAAAACGAGGACCCCACACCACAGGATGGTTGGGAATAAAATTAGCCTGGCGAAGGACCCAACCATATGCAGTTGAGAGTACCGCAATTGTGCATATCTTCTTCGGTGGCGCTCCCTATGGGGCCACGAGCCGTATGAGGGGTGTGCCGAAATGCGTGGCAGTGTACACAACACGAACGAAGACGATAGGTCCGAATATGAAAGCTTGAGCGCGTGCGAGTCGGATCGCGAGCGAGTCTGATTATGAATGAATCTGCGCGCGATTGATTCTATTCGCATGAATGCGTGCATGGATACGCCCAGTGTAAATGTATGTATACGACTGTGAACAGTTTGGGTCTGCGTGACTCTCGGTACTCGTGACTCTGAGCGTCGCCTCTGCAGGGGGCTTCCCTGGGAACCCCGACGGCAGCGCCCGCGCGCCGCGACGCCCATGTCGGCACGCCACACACCTGGTGTGCGGGACGCATGCGGACGGCAGCACTGGGGCCTTCGGTGGAGCTCCCTGTGGGGCCACGAAACGTGTGAGGGGTGTGCCGAAATGGGTGTGCGGGACGCATGCGGACGGCAGCCATGGGGCCTTCGGTGGAGCTCCCTATGGGGCCACGAAACGTGTGAGGGGTGTGCCGAAATGGGTGTGCGGGACGCATGCGGACGGCAGCACTGGGGCCTTCGGTGGAGCTCCCTGTGGGGCCACGAAACGTGTGAGGGGTGTGCCGAAATGGGTGTGCGGGACGCATGCGGACGGCAGCCATGGGGCCTTCGGTGGAGCTCCCTATGGGGCCACGAAACGTGTGAGGGGTGTGCCGAAATGGGTGTGCGGGACGCATGCGGACGGCAGCACTGGGGCCTTCGGTGGAGCTCCCTGTGGGGCCACGAAACGTGTGAGGGGTGTGCCGAAATGGGTGTGCGGGACGCATGCGGACGGCAGCCATGGGGCCTTCGGTGGAGCTCCCTATGGGGCCACGAAACGTGTGAGGGGTGTGCCGAAATGGGTGTGCGGGACGCATGCGGACGGCAGCACTGGGGCCTTCGGTGGAGCTCCCTATGGGGCCACGAAACGTGTGAGGGGTGTGCCGAAATGGGTGTGCGGGACGCATGCGGACGGCAGCCATGGGGCCTTCGGTGGAGCTCCCTGTGGGGCCACGAAACGTGTGAGGGGTGTGCCGAAATGGGTGTGCGGGACGCATGCGGACGGCAGCCATGGGGCCTTCGGTGGAGCTCCCTGTGGGGCCACGAAACGTGTGAGGGGTGTGCCGAAATGGGTGTGCGGGACGCATGCGGACGGCAGCCATGGGGCCTTCGGTGGAGCTCCCTATGGGGCCACGAAACGTGTGAGGGGTGTGCCGAAATGGGTGTGCGGGACGCATGCGGACGGCAGCACTGGGGCCTTCGGTGGAGCTCCCTGTGGGGCCACGAAACGTGTGAGGGGTGTGCCGAAATGGGTGTGCGGGACGCATGCGGACGGCAGCCATGGGGCCTTCGGTGGAGCTCCCTGTGGGGCCACGAAACGTGTGAGGGGTGTGCCGAAATGGGTGTGCGGGACGCATGCGGACGGCAGCACTGGGGCCTTCGGTGGAGCTCCCTGTGGGGCCACGAAACGTGTGAGGGGTGTGCCGAAATGGGTGTGCGGGACGCATGCGGACGGCAGCCATGGGGCCTTCGGTGGAGCTCCCTATGGGGCCACGAAACGTGTGAGGGGTGTGCCGAAATGGGTGTGCGGGACGCATGCGGACGGCAGCACTGGGGCCTTCGGTGGAGCTCCCTGTGGGGCCACGAAACGTGTGAGGGGTGTGTGAGGGGTGTGCCGAATGCGGATGGGTGGTGGAGCGACGGTGTGAGGGGTGTGCCGAAATGGGTGTGCGGGACGCATGCGGACGGCAGCTGGGGCCTTCGGTGGAGCTCCCTGTGGGGCCACGAAACGTGTGAGGGGTGTGCCGAAATGGGTGTGCGGGACGCATGCGGACGGCAGCCATGGGGCCTTCGGTGGAGCTCCCTATGGGGCCACGAAACGTGTGAGGGGTGTGCCGAAGTGGGTGATGACGATGACGATGACGACGATGACAATGACGATGATGATGATGATGATGATGATGATGATGATGATGATGATGATGATGATGATGATGATGATGATGATGATGATGATGATGATGATGATGATGATGATGATGATGATGATGATGATGATGATGATGATGATGATGATGATGATGATGATGGAGGGAGGAGGGGGAGGAGGAGGAGAGGAGGAGACGCGGGGCACCGTCTCTTCAAAACGAGGACCCAACACCACAGGATGGTTGGGAATGATAAGCGTTGGAGGTCCGCGCGCATTTCTTGGATCTGCGCCGAAGCCTCCTCCCGGGCGCGCGGAGCTCGCCAGGGGTGGCGTCGGAGGCGCCAGAATTGGGAGCCAGCGCCGATGCAAGCAACACGCGCGGATCTCCGAGAAATGATGCTTATGCAACCTTCTTGTTCTTCGAATACCCCCGCCTCCTCCAAGCGTCTCCCCTCCCTGAGGTGCCCGTTCCGTTCCGTGGCGGCTTGGGACGTGCCCGTCTGTGGAGGACATCGTGCACGGGATAACGGAAAAGGTTTGGGACGGTACACGAAATCTAGCAGGCAGCAGGCAGGCGTCACTCCCCTGGAGGCGCCTCGATCGCAGCTTCACCCGAAGGAGGTTGGAGGCGCCCGGGGGGTCTAAACTGGATGGGCCCCGAGAAAACATGTCAGGGAGGGGGGATCGAGGCGACTCCGCTCAGAATCGGTCCCCTGACCCCTGCCGGGGTCCGTCTGGTGTAGTGTTTCACCCCGGGTCCGCTTTCGACGGTGCCCCGAGCCCGAAAGCAGCCCCGGGAGTGGGAAAGAGGCAGGAACCTTAACCCCGAGCCTCGAACCTCGCCCCTTTTGGTCGGTGGATCTCTCCAGCTCCCCGCCGCCCGTGGCGGTGTGCGTTGCGAGCAGGACCACGGCAGAGCCACAGGGAAGCGCGGCATCGGCAGTGTAGCTCCGCACGCGTGGCACATGCTGACGAGCAGGAGCACAGCAAAGCCCCTCGGACCCCCCGAACAAGTGCTGAGCCGCCTCGGACCCCCAGCCGGCTCCAGAGTGGAGGGGGGACCTGCGGCTCAGGCCAGCCTCATAAGCGTCCCTGGTCTCCCCTTTGCCTCCACGATGCTCCTCCACGTCAAGAGTAGAGGCCTCCCCAGTGGGGTTCGTGTAGGTAGGGTCGGAGGATCGCGCCGCATCGCCGATGCATCGCCGATGCATCGCCGGCCTCGGCGATGCAGCGGCGCCGTCGGCGTCGGGAAAAACAGGCGCCACACCAAGACCACATCGCCGAGGCATCGGCGACTCGGCGCGATCCTTCGGCCCCACCTGCTCGGACCCGGAGGCCGAGAGCCACAAAGCCTGCGCTGCGAGAGGCCCGAGCGCGCGCGCGTCGCCCGTGCGTGGGGCCGAGGCGCGTGTGGTGCAAGGGCTGCCTGGGGGCGGTGCCGATCACCCGCAGGCGCCGAGCGCGGGGCCTCCCCCTCCTCCTCCTCCTCCTCCTCCTCCTCCTCCTCCCCTGGGCCTCCCCCTTCCCGCAGCGGCCCCCGCCTCGAGCACCACGACGGGGTCGTCCCGCTCGCCCGGCGGCAGCCCCAGGTCGCACCTCGCGCAGGCCTCGGCCGCGGCCTGGGGGGCGACGGCGACGACGACGGCGACGACGATGACGACGAGGACAAGGACGCCGACGACGACAACGACGACGACGACGACCGCGACGACGAGGACGACGCCGACGCCGACGACGCCGACGACGACGACGACGCTGACGACGACGACGACGACGACGAGGACGGGGACGGGGACGAGGACCACGCCGACGACGACGACGACAGCGACGACGACGACGACGACGCTGACGCTGACGCTCACGACGACGACGACGCCGCCGCCGACGACGACGACGACGACGACCGCATGGCGACGCGTTCCCCTCAGGCCGAGCAAGACAAAACCCTCCTTTACGGACCCCAAGTCGTCGCCCGAGAACGGCGATGACGGCAACTACGACGACTAAGCCGACGCCGACGCCGACGCCAACGCCGACGACAACGACGCCGACGACACGCCGCCGACGACGCCGCCGCCGACGACGACGACGATGACGCCGACGCCGACGCCGACGCCGACGCCAACGACGACGACGACGACGCCGATGCGGCGGCAGGCCAGCGGTCTGCTGGGCGCGCGCCTCCGCAGCTGGGTCGCCAGGCGGCCCGACCACCGGCGCCCGCGCCGCCTCGGCACCGCCGGGGCGCCGACGCCGCCGAGGCCTTCGTCGTCGTTGTCGCAGTCGTGGTCTTGGTGCAGTCTTCGTCGCCATCGTCGTCGTCGTGGAGGCGCCGACGCCGCCGGCGCCCCAGTCTCCCTTCGCCGTCCAGAGGCGATGCCGAGACGAGGGTGTTGCTCCCGAGTCAAAAACGAGACGCCGTCGAGCGGGAGCGCCGTTGTTGTGCGGGGGGGCGGCTTGCATCGCCGAGGCGAGAGCGCTTCTCCTGAATGGAAAAAGGGGGTGTATCGACCAGGAGCGCTGGTCTGGTTGGAGGGCTGGTTCTCGGCGGCGAGCAAGAGCGTCGGTCCTAATAAGTATAATACAAGGAGGTCTCGAGCTGTAGCGCTGCTGCTGCAAGGGGGGCTGGTTGCGACGCCGAGGCGAGAACGCCACTCCTGAATAACAAATGAGGTCTCGAGTGGGAGCGCTGTTTTGTTGGAAGGCCGGTTTGCGACGCCGAGGCGCGCGTGCCTTTCCTTAGCACGAATCGAGGACGTATCGAGCGGGAACGCTGGTTCCGTTGGAGGGCCGTTTTTTTGGAAGCAAGCAAGAGCACCAGTCCTGAGTAAAGAATGAGAAGTGGCGGGCGAAAGCGTTGCTACGTGAGATGTTGTCGCCCTCCAGTGGACGAGGGATGCGCTGTTGCACGGAGGGGTGGTGCGCAACAGTGCACCAGTGCGAGTTCTCGCCACCAGTGGCGAAACCAGGAGCAGGCGTACCAGGGCCTGGTGCACCCATATGCGTTCGGTTTGTACTGTTGTTGGGGGCCACTTCCTGGACCAGAAACAAGCGGCACCACACCACCTGCGGCCCTACGGGCCTTGGCATACACCATGAGTTCTGGCTTGGGCTTTTGCGTGGCATACGCCACGGCACCCGATGGGCCGTAAGGCAGCCTGGAGGGCGTTGGTTGATTTGTCGTTGATTTGATGGTAGAGTTGATTGATTGTCGTTGATTTGTTGGTGGTGTCGTTGATCTGTCGGTAGAGTTCCCGCGAACACCCGAACCGCTCGAGCGTGAGGCTCGGTCGTCAAAGGATGCAGCCGGCGCCGAAGCGAGAGAGCCAGGGCGCTGAGGGGTGGTCCACCAAACATAAATTGTCTGGCGATGGCTCGGACGTCCACTCCCAGGGCATTGTTCGGTTTCGTGCATGCTTCTGCCTGATGGTTCGGGATGCTCCTCGATGGTCCTCGCCGAGAGTAATGCACACGTGCGAGCGATGCCAAGTGGTTTAGCCATGCAAGGAACCACAGCTCTGGCTATGGCCAGGGTTCTCTTCTTAAGGCAGGCGGCGATTCAACCAAAAATAAGTGCTCCAAAACAAGTGATTAGCCTGGTGCAGAACCAACAATATACAATTGCGAATACCGCAGTTGTGGGTATCGTCTTCCGTGGAGCTCCCTGTGGGGCCACGAAACGCTGTACTGAGCGGGGGAACCGCATGCGAACTGCGCCACTGGGACCTTCGGTGAAGCTCCCTATGGGGCCACAGAGCGCTGTACTGGACGGGGGAACCGCATTCCAACTGCGCCACTGGGACCTTCGATGGAGCTCCCTATGGGGCCACGAAACACTGTACAGGGTGGGAGGGCCGCATGCGAACTGCGCCAGTGGAACCTTCGGTAGAGCTCCCTATGGGGCCACGAACCGCTGTACTGGGTGGGGGAGCCGCATGCGAACTGCGCCACTTGGACCTTCGATGGAGCTCCCTCTGGGGCCACGAAGTGCTGTTCTGAGTGGGGGAGACGCACCTTAACAATGCGGAGGAGAGAGGAGGGGGAGGAGGAGAGGAGAGGAGAGGAGGAACGCAGGGCGCTGTCTCTTCAAAACGAGGACCCACCACCACATGATGGTTGGGAGTAGACGAAGTCAGCCGAATCAACACCAAGGCCCACGAACTCGAGAATCCACGAGCGCGTTGTTCTTGCGATGTTTGGCCATTTCTTTACACTACAATCTGGTTAGATGACCCCCTATTTTTTTCGAAGACCTGGGAGTGAACAAGCAGTTCATACAACAAAACAACAACATCTTCAGGTCTGGCTATGATCGGCCATTGTTCGTAAAACTGGAGGCAGGTAGTTTAAATGGAAACAACCGGCCCAAAACACTACCAGTGCACTTGAACGGGGAACGATGCGGCGAAGGCGTCGGCGCTGCCGACGCCGTGGCCGCTGACGCCGTCGTCGCCGCCTCCGATGCTGTCACCCCGTCGTCGCCGCCGTCGTCGACGTCGCCGTCACCGACGTGGCCGCCGCCGTCGTCGACTTCGTCACCGACGTGGCCGCCGCCGTCTTAGTCGCCGTCGATATCGCTGCCGTCTTCGTCGTCCTCGTCGTCGTCCCCGACCTCGTCCTCGTACGTCGTCGTCGTCGTCGTCGTCGTCGTCGTCGTCGCCGCCAGCAGCGTCGACAACGCCGGCGCGGTCGTCTTCGCTGTCGAGGGGTCGGCGGCAGCTGCGCGGCAAGGGCCTCCGCACCACTGCGCAGCGGGGAGACGGCGCCGCCTGGGCCTGGCGAGGGAGGGGGGAGGGAAAACGCTGCCTTGGGCACGGGTGGGATGCATGTGCGGGACTTGTTTTTTTTCAGGAAAAGAATGAGGTGGGGTTGGGAGGATGGGGTTGGGAGAAATGAGGATGTCCTTACCCGTAGGCGGTTACGCGTTGGCGGTCCCTTCGGTAAGGTGTCTAAGGGCTGTCGAGTTCTTGCTACACAACACTCATGCAGTTCCATTGCGCATACGCTCTACACTGCACCTTCCCGGGCGCACTTAATTATGTTGACTTGAGGAATGAAAAAAAAAACGCCCCTGCCCCGGGTTACAAGTGCGTGGCCAGTACACCTCCTGGGAGCTCCCACGGGCCAGAGAGCCGCCAGAACGCCTCGCGGCACGCGCGGCACGCAGGCCACAGGACAGGAGAGTCCAGAATCGAATCGATAACTCGGATCGGCGATCGAAATGAATCGGATCGGCAGAAATCGGCGGCCGCGTCGGGAAAAGTCGAATCGGCAGAAATCGGCAGGCTAGTATGCCTCCCAGAAGAAATCGGAACCCAAATCGGAATCCCAAGTCGAACCGAATCGGAATCGGAAGCAATCGAAATCGAATCGAATCGAATCGGAGGAATCGAAACGAGCCCTGCAGGAGGTTCAGCGCACAGCGCCCTCCTCTGCTCACAGCACCGCGCGGCGCCCTCCCGCTCGGGTCCTCCGCGTCGCCGTCGATCCCGCGCCCGCCGAGGGCTGACACCCCCGGCTCGGGGGCCGGCGCCGCGGGCTCGGCCGGGCCGCGCGACCGGGCCTCACGGCAGATGGCGCTCTTCGCCTCGACGAAGGGCTTGTACACCCTGCGAAATGCTCAAGAAATCATGGGTTAAGAAATTCATAGCCTCAGAACTTGAATAAAAACCCAGAATTCCTAGCAAAATCTTAGGATTTACATTGAAACATTAAGAATAATCGAGACTCTGGCCGAAAATGTAAGTTTTCTTACGCATCGCCTAAGGTGTAGCCTGCCGCGCCCCGCCCCGTCGCCTGTCCTCTATACGCGTGGCCGACGATGGCCTGCCGAGGCGAAGAGGCCCGACCGCCGACCTCGGCGGCCGAGGGGCGCGCAGGCGGCCTCGGGCACCCGTGGGCGGTGCGCAGCAGGCAGGGAAGCACCCCACACGCGCACGGCATCAGCTGGCACGGGGGAGGGGGAGGGGGAGTGGGGGGGAAGGGGATGGGGAGGAGGAGGAGGGGGAGGAGGGGGAGGAGGAGGAGGAGGAGGAGGAGGAGGAGGAGGAAGGAGGAGGAGGAGGAGGAGGAGGACGAGAGGAAGGGGGAGAGGAGAAGGAGAGGACCCAAACAAGAAGGAACGTCAACGGTACGGAATGCGAGCAGCCTGCACGGCACGGAAGATACGGATCCGACACGCCCAACGGCGGCAAAACTCGAATCCGACCCGAGCCGAGCAGGGCTTACGAGCTCGTCGAAGACTGCCAAAACTTGGCCTGTAGGCGGGCAACAAGCGCATCCATTCGAGGATTCCGAATGAGAGAGGCGGTGACGGAGGAGGAGGAGGAGACGTCCGCCCACCCAGCCGTCCCACCCACCACCCGCCGAATGAGATCGCACTCAAGAGGGGTCGGCGCCTGGAGGGACTCCTCGCGTCGACGAGAGTGCGGGTGAAGCCCCGCCTCCAGGCGCCGTCGGTCGTACGCCCGCTGGGGCGTCGAGGAGGGGCGACAAGGCTTGAAGAGGGTCCCACTAGACCTCTCCTCAGCATACGCCCCACATTTACAGCAATACACAAGTACCTGATCGCGTGCCGTCCAGCACGCTCTCAGAGAGTGCCCGCCCATCCCTTCACACTCGCGCAGCTTTACAAGGAGCGGAGGGGGGCCTGGGCACTGAGTGAGGGGGCGCTCGTCCTGCTCGGGGCACGACCCAAGGCACCGAGCACAACGCACCCTCCAACTACCCACCCGACACCACTCGTGCCACGACACAACCTGCGTTATGCTCGGCACCTTGATCTTCTTAAAGGATGGGATAGGGAACGCTGGGAGGACCGCCGCCGCCACACTGATCGCAGCGCGGAGGCGTTTGATCATTAGCCCGTGCAACTCAGAGGAGGCGGGAGGGGCACGGGGGTGGAGGGAAAGGGCATCCTTGGCCAACAAATCGGCCAGTTGGTTGCCCCGAGCGATCCTTTCCTCGGCTGGTGGGAGCGCGGACATTACCTCTTCGGAGCGATGGGCACGGGTATGACTGACGTGCCCAATGTGTATGTGCCCTGGATGCTGCAGCGCGCCACGGCGCAGTCCAGCAAAAACTTGAGAACCGTTAAGCTGGGCCTGGACAGGCTTCTCCGTTAAACGCACAGCACCCAAACAATCAGAAAACGGCATGGTGGTCCCAGGGCCCCGTTGGAAAATGGAAAGCAGGGCGAGGGCGAGGTGCTCGGCCGACGGAGCAGTCTGCGGTAGAGACTCCCACACCACACCCTGCATCCTACATCGAACTTCACACTGCTCAGAATTCTCAAGAAAGACGGCGGCATACGCCGCTCGGTTGAGCCGAGTGAATTCAGTTCGAGTCGCACTGCCGTCGACACACACATCACATCCCGCGCTGAGCTCCTGGAAAGTCTCCTGGGTCACAGGGTTGCCCTGGGCATCCTGGAAAACAGGAAACAACTCAGAGGAGGGAGGAGGGAAATCGTCGGGGCGAGGTTGGAACACCAGGAGCCTGGACCACAGGAGATCTTCGGGCTCATCACGCGCAACTGCTACAATCTCGCTAGACGTCGCCTCCTCCCTAGCAGCGGCCACGGCTGGGCAGCACCAGAGGCGATGATGAATCGAATCGGGCTGGGAGCACAAGGGGCAGAGGCCTGTGGATACAAAACCGTGGTGTGCGAGGCGGTCCTCCGTCCACGTGCCACCAGAAAACACTGACGCGACAACGTGCTTTTGCAGAGCCGAGTATTTCTTGGAACGGACTGCCTTGACAATCAAATCAGCTGAGACCTCCTGTCCCTGCCCCTGAGGGAGAGTGGCAGCAAAACTACGGGCATGGAGGCGAAGAATACTAGCATGCAACTGCTTAGCAAGCAAGGCAGGCGAGGTGAAAAACAAATCGTGCTCGATCTGGTTGTCATCGAAGAAAGTCTTGAAGTTGGTGAACGTCCATCCTAGGCGATGCAAACACAACATGGCACGATGAATGGGACCAGCACTCTTGTTCCACTGCGACTGCTGCAAGACAGGAAACTTCAAGGCTACGGCATCCCACGTCTGTTGCAAGAACCTCCACGATAATACCACACGGTCAGGTTGGACAATCGAGTTCCATACTGCCTTGCAATACTGAATGACAGGCGCCACTGCTATCTTCCAAGCTGGGTCATCATACACGAGCATGCGAGCGGGTAACGAGCCTCCTCGGGATGGGACGAGCGCACGTCGTAGCGTCAACAGCTCTCTATCCGTCATGCCAGTGACAAGGGATCCATACGTAGCCGCAGGACGCACCCCAGAGATATATATCTTGTGAAGCTTCGCCTTGCCCACAGAGATCCGTCGTCGTAAAGCACGGAGGAAACCAACGCGTCTTTTCATAGCTCGAAACCGCTTTTTCATCTGACACGTAGCACCAGGAGCAGCACGAGGACGAGCAGGAGCCAGGTCAGCACCGAGCGCAGTGGCAGAGGTCGTCGCAACAGCCGAGCGAGCACCGACTCGAGCAAGCCGTCGATCGAGTTGTCGAACGACATCGTGGCAAGACCCAAAGACCACTGCCTTGTCGTGGGAGAGGCCAACCTGGAGCTCCTCCCTATAGACGGTGACGAGGTCCTTGGCTGCCTCCACGAGCGCTGGTACGAGGTCTTCACGGGGGCCCGTCATGGAAACGCAGTCATCATCCACGTACACGCCGAGGTCCAAGCGGGGGTGCCGCGCCACGAACCCATCTAGGGCCCCGAGGAGATAAATCTGCACGAAGGCGTCATTGAACACGTCGCCGGCTGGCAACCCTGAGCTAGCAAACTGCACGAGAGGACAGTGGTGAGCTCCCAGTCGAACCAGGCGGGGCCCCCTCCAGAAGTTGAAGAGGACCTTGACTAGGGGCCGCGGGAGCCCACGCGCCAGCGCTCGATCACGCAGGAGCACTAAGTTAAACGACTCATAGAACTTGAGGCCATCCCACAGAAACCCCGCCGTCTCCTGATCTACAGCCTGGCCCCGTTCTGCACGGACCGCAGCGTGCCGCGCCGCCTCCTCGGCTCCCCTGCCTTTACCAAAGGACCAGTACTTGCGGGAAGACGATTCGAGGAAGGGCTCCACGAGAGGACGGCGCGCCTTTTCCCACACTCGCACAAAGGATGCAACGAGCAAAATTGGGCGGTAGCCGCCCTGCGGCTTCTCAAGCAGTGGAAAGAGAAGCCAGAGGAGCTGGGCAGGAAACAGTCCGAGGCGCTCCGTGCACGTGAAAATCACACTGAGCTGCTCAAGCGCTGTGCCGCTGAGCATCTCCACATGCCGCGGGTGAAAGCCGTCTAAGCTTTGGGCCGTGGACTCCGAGAAGGTCCGAGCCGCCGCGCGCAACTGCACACACGTGAGGGGCTCCAAAGCCTCGCGATCAGGAATCCACGCCTCGGGAGGTTCAACCTCCGCATGCCAAAAACCACCGAGCTTCACGGTCTCCTCCTGCACTAACTGACACGGCTCAGACGTGAACGACCCAGGGGCGGAGGAGGAGACCGTGGGCTCCCAAAGCTTCTTGATGCGGGTGAGTCGGTGCATGCGCTTGGCCGAGCCACTGAGCGCCGAGATGTGCCACTCCTTCCAGGAACGGTCTCTGGCCTTGGAGTGCTCAGCCTGGACTTCATCACATTCCGCAGCTAGCTCCTCGGCGAGAGCAGCAGCTGTATCCCACCACTCGCTGCCCCCAGACATCTGCGGAGACCATTGAGTGAGCAGGAGACGGACTGACGCGAGCGAACGGTCGAGGCGGGCGCACAAGCCCT